GTCTATTCACAGGCGCGACCCCACTACTGATCGACACGGGGGCTTCGACCTGCTCCGTCTCCGACCTGGGCCGGTTCACCCATCCTTAGACGACCTGGTGGTCCCGAGCTCCCCCAGGAGCACCATATCGATACCGAACTTAGTGCAGACACCCGATCGACATAGTCCACTGCAGCCCAGAACCCCTGAACTCAAGCGATCCGCCAGCCTCAGCCTCCCAGCAGCTTGGATTACAGGCGCGCGCCACTACACCCGACGAGAGCTGCGAGCATCAGCACTGCTCCTCAATCTAGTGCTCACTGCGACCTCTAGTGCAGCACAGCAGAATATTATGTTTTGGCAATGCATTTGAAGTATGCACATTTTTCTGCTATTGCATTTCTCTGCATTGCTTTCTGAGAAAAAATTAATTATTCTTTAAGACTTTGTTTATTAATTACATAAACTGTCTGTTTGCTGCTGAGAGACTGTATGATGTAAAAAAAAAAAAAAAACTATGCTTTCACCGTTTCTATGCTCTCATTGTACCTGAATCCTTTTTTACTATTTTAAATTATGACTGAAACCTTGTATAACTGGCACTTCTCGTGTTTATTGCCATCCTATGATGAATCAAAATCAGCAATTATGGTCATCCCTCTGTCTGTTAACAATATGGTGAGGAGAGAAAGAGTGTCCTCAAGAAATTGTCAAAGATGTGATGATGGTGTGCAGCCTTAAAACATCTGAGAGCCAGGTAAGGTATGCATGAGTATACATTCAAATTCAGCTACTTATCAAAAGTTTATTTCAATATAAGAAAATTGTGTTCAGAACGATTCACAGTTTGTGCGACTCTTGAAAGTATGGTAACATTTCAGTTCTTACCACTCGCTATACGTGAGCTCTGTGATGACCACCCCACAAAGCTCTGTGCTCTCTCTCTTGTGATGTTAACAAAAAATATGAAACATGAAAAACAAAGAAACAGACACCAAAATATCGGGACTGAACTTTAATAAGGAATGCACATAATACATCTCCAAGTCAGCAGCCCCATAACGGTCTTACAGTGAATGGTAAAAAAATTGTACTTAAAACACTTCATTGCATTCATTGTTTACACAGCCCACCTGCAAGGTAGAAAACATTGACATACATTTACTGTCACATCCTGTGTCTCACCATGCTGATTTGAGACTGCAGCTCGATCTCCAGGCACTGCAAACTACGCCGCAAATCTGAGATCTCTGACTTAGAGGTTTCTAGGCACTCTGTGTTGGTGGCAGCATCTTTACACAGGTCTGCCATCTTAAAAAGAGAGTCACAAACACACATCTTGTGAGCCATTTAACTCATGAGTCACTGAGCTATATTATTTTTCTGTATTAGTTAATACCACTCCAAGCTGTAATGTGAATTAAAGAGACAGAAATCTCACTTTCTCTTTGAACCAGCACTCCTGTTCTCTGCGGTGTTTGTCTATGATGGTCTCATAATGGCAACGGATGTCGTCTAAAACCTTGTTCAGGTCTTGCTGAGGAGCAGCATCCACTTCCAGTTTCAATTATACACATGACTCAAAGTTCAATTAACAGACTTAATGCCTTCACAACAAAGATAGACTTAAGCACAACATCAGAGAGGCTTATTAAAATAATTTGAAGATAAAATAAGTTAATTTTGAAATTACTGCTATTATTTTTCCACATACATCATTGGGGTCTCGAGCTCAAAACATAAAAATAAAGTCAGAAAATGAGGTTTAAGTTTGTGATTTAACCTTGAAAATTCAAACCTGCTCCATTCAAAAAGTCTTTCAAGCTTCTTGAGGGATCACTTAAATACTTTTTTTTTCACAGATTTCTCCTCAGAATTTAAACTTATGAAATATGGAGGCTTGTGGGAAACTTCAAGACTTAAATCAGCTAATGTACTCATCAAAATGTAGTTAGATTAAAAGATAGCATGCCCAATGCAAGTTACAAGAAATCCTAAAACTTTGCAGTCCCAGAGTTACATATTAAACACTATTTTTGTAAATTTGGGGAAACTTTGAAATGTATAATAACCATCAGTTGTCCAAATTTCAGTTTTAACATGCTAGAGGAACTCATTGGGGGTTTAAAAATAACGCCAATGTACCTTAAATAACTGTTAGACAAGAAACAGTCTGCTGAAACTGCAAGAAAGCTGTTCGCATGATCAAATTACGAGGTCCCTGTTGCATTATTTCATCATCTCATATAGTTCTATTTGCTTACAGCACTATTTCTTCGAGTCAGATGTGTTAATACCTAGAACATGAGTGTCAATGTGTGGCCAGCCTGACAAATCCAGGAATTGGCTACTTAATGGTTAAATCAATCGTTTAGCTGTCTTAGAGAAAGGCACAAAAATCAATGTTGTGTCTTTAAGAAATACCTTGTCTTAAAAAAAACATATGTGTAATTTTATGTGCAATAATTATAATTTTTAAAAGACTTTGTGTGAGAATAAGACGAGATTAGGAGCAAGACTGTTAATTGTGAGGCATGTCTCTTATGATCACACACCATAAAAAGGCATGAGACAAAAGCAAATACATTTCTGGTGAATCTGTCACAGTCTCATTAGGCAGGAAAATCATTTTGTTAACACTTATTTTGCTTCATATTTGTAATATCTGGCCTATAGGCCTATATTACAAACATATGTGACCCTGGACCACAAAATCAGTCATGAGGGTCAATTTTTCAAAATTGAGATTTATACATCATCCGAAAGCTGAATAAATAACCTTTGTTAGGATAGGACAATATTTTGCTGAGATGCAACTATTTGAATATCTGGAATATGATGGTGCAAAAAATCAAAATATTGAGAAAATCAACTTTAAAATTGTCCAAATGAAGTTCTTAGCAATGCATATTACTGATCAAAAATTAAGTTTTGATATATTTACAGTAGGAAATTATAAAATATCTTCATGGAACATGATCTTTCCTTAATATCCTAATGATTTTTGACATAAAAGAAAAATCTATAATTTTGACCCATACAATGTATTTTTGGCTATTGCTACAAATATACCCCAGCGATTTAAGACTGGTTTTGTGGTCCAGGGTCACAAATAATAATCAAACCTCATTGAAAATCTATGAAGATCTCAGTTTTGATCCTGTAAATGGATCCTCTCAGTCGCAACCGCTATTTATATTAATGCAGTGTGACAGCATTCACAGTTCGTAAACATTGTGCGCTCAATTTAGTCTCACTTTTAGATTATTGTTAGATATTTTTTGGTGATTATTTTTAGTTTAGTGTGGCTAACCTTTTTTTTTCAAAAGAGTAGCTTGACTGGACTGGACTAGGCCAATTTAAATAATTATATTATTCTATATTATTACTATTCTTTTCTTTTCTTTTTTCTTTTACAAAGCATTACTGGTGCCCAGATGGAAATGTGTAATATAGTCCTATATTGTTCGGACCTCCACTGGGAAAGAAATGTTAAGACTTATAATATAAAAACGTATAAAATATAATTATAAAAATGTACTTTCCCTCATGTAAGTTCAAACCTGCATGACTTACTTTCTAAAATACCCCTGCCCTATAGGTTTTCGTGAAATACCTCCACTTGTGTCCCAAATGATGCACTAGGGCTAGGCTATGCTGCTACTCAATTTAGTGAGATTGAGGAGCAGTGCTGATGCTCGCAGCTCTCGTCGGGTGCAGTGGCGTGCGCCTGTAATCCAAGCTGCTGGGAGGCTGAGGCTGGCGGATCGCTTGAGTTCAGGGGTTCTGGGCTGCAGTGGACTATGTCGATCGGGTGTCTGCACTAAGTTCGGTATCGACATGGTGCTCCTGTGGGAGCTCGGGACGACCAGGTCGTCTAAGGAGGGGTGAACCGGCCCAGGTCGGAGACGGAGCAGGTCAAAGCCCCCGTGTCGATCAGTAGTGGGGTCGCGCCTGTGAATAGACACTGCAGTGCAGCCTGAGCGATACAGCGAGACTCAGACTTTTGCGTTTGTACCTGCATGTGGACTAACAGCGAAAGAAAGATTTGCAGATTAATTATATGATTGATAATGAAATTGTTTCACTCTTACTTGTCAACTCCAGATTTTGTAGCATTTTACAAATGTGTCAACTGTTTTAAACTTTTATATTTTCAGCAATGACATTTGTGCGTTGCACTTCTTTTTAACATAAGAGGCACTACTGTAGGTACTACTTCATACATTTACAGCAAAATCAGAGTAGCCTACCGGCAGTTTATCTTAAAATTAAAAAGAATAGAATCAGTAATTATGATTTACATACAGCCTATTTGTAAAATATTGTTTGCTGATGCTAACTGGCTAGCTAACTAGCTACCTGGTAACTTGAGGACATTTTTAAATATAAAGTCCAAATATTTTTATTCAATCACCTATTTACAATCCATTTGATGGAAAAACAAAGGATTTGATATTCAGAACAGAGTAGGCTAACTACAGTAATTAAGCCATGCCCCCTGGGGGCGTTTTACTCCACAGACTTGAAAAAAAAAAGAAAAGTCATTTTGAAAATACAATTCTATTTTTTTTAAATAACATGTACTCCTTATGCCTTACTATTCTCATATTTAAAGCCTAACTGATGTTCTACAAAACAAGCTTTTAAACACTTTTTTTCTTACTGCTGAAAATGAGATCACTTAATTACTGTGAAATCTGTTTTCTCTCAGGTTCATCACCAGTGTAAGCTTCACGGAGAATACTTCTACATCACTCTTGTCAACGTAGTTCATAGCAACAACAAAAATGCATCTCGACTTTATCTAGTGGTTATTTTTGGAAAAACAGTAGGGGGTGCGGGGCTTTTCCCTCACTCTACCCTACCATGGGACAGACTGAGTGTGGAAATATGAAACATTGGATTGAACACTACTGCACATTACTCTAAGTATTGTTTTTGATAAACTGTGTAAAGTAGTGCTAAAGTGCAGCTCATGCACATGCTCACAAAACCATATTAATTATTTTTTTTATTTGTCGGATGTTAAGATTTATGCTCCTAACAACATGTTGAATTGGCCTTGGAGTGGTTTCCAAAAGGCAGTCCATACAGAAGACGAATACAGGCTCTTTTTACCTCGTTTGACCAGTTAGTTACCACATTACTTTAATCTCACATCGGCTCTCAAAATTGTAATTTAACCCTCTTCGGAGAGCTGTTTTAAATTAAAATGTATATTAAGATTCACGTTTGTATTAAAGCAAAACGGTAAATATGGCACTAAACACATTTAAGATATTCCACGAAAAATGCACACAAAAGTCTGAGTCTCACTGTATCGCTCAGGCTGCACTGCAGAGTCTATTCACAGGTGCGACCCCACTACTGATCAACACGGGGGCTTTGACCTGCTCCGTCTCCGACCTGGGCCGGATCACCCCTCCTTAGACGACCTGGTGTTCCCGAGCTCCCCCAGGAGCACCATATCGATACCGAACTTAGTGCAAGTGTGTGTGTGTGTGTGTGTATATATACATACTGTAAATATATACACTTTTGATCACACCGATTAGGTATAACATTATGACCACCTTGCTAATATTCTGTTGGCCCCCATTTTGCTGGCAAAACAGCCCTGACCCATCGAGGCATGGAC